GTCCTCAGAGCTGGAGGTGAAAGAGCGGGTGGGATGACCCGGGCCGCGGCCCCTGTCCTCCTGCAGGCACCTTTCCGCTGTCCTGGCGCAGGCGAGGCGTGCATACCTGCAAGGCAGCTACGGGCTGACCCATTTAGATGCAGTAGGCGTGTTCTGTTTGCTCCTTAGTCACATGGACGCTGGGCCTAGAGGCTGAATCAGCTCCTGTTATCTCTTTTGCAGCCCCGTGGAGGCCCCCGCTCCTCCTGAGCAGCTCGGAGCTCCAGAGGAAGTGACAGAGCCCCTGGCGCAGTGTGCGGCTTGGCTGGGTGCCTATTTCCATGAACCTGCGGTCCTCGAGGAGCGCCCCGTGCCTGCTCTTCACCATCCCATTTTCCAGAAAGGTCAGTACCTCGGCCGCCTCGCAGTGTTTGGTTCAGTGGGGCTGACCTATTGACTGTCACTGACCTCCCAGCTCAGGTTACTGACTACACTGACGTGGCGTTTTCACATCGTCTGAACAGAAGCGGTGTGTGGCCGCACTGAATGGATGGGAGTGCACAGTCTCCACCCGTTCCCAGTGGTTGTGTTAGTTTTGGCACGTGGTCACGTAATTCTTGGCAAAGGCAATAAAAATGATCCATGTAGATCGACTCCTGACTTTCGCTGGCTGAAAGGTTTAAATAGGAACACATCTGAATGGCAGTAAGTTTTTCAGTAAGCTTATTGTTAACTTTATCTGCTTGCCAACAGCACAGAAAACGAGGCTCATACATGGACAGTTAGCCACTTCCATACACTCAGTCAGTGACACTTAACGTTGGAGTGGGTAGCGGCAGTGTGTCTTCTTGAATAAGTTTTCAGTTTAACCCCTCAAACTTACCATAGTTAAATAATTGTATTCTCAAGGGATGAATTATTGTAGGGATGAACTTATTGTCTACATGCGATGTGCTGATGGAACATAAAGTCTGCGATAACCTAAAAACATTTTCCCAGACGTTTTTTTGTAAGCTTTTGTTTGCAGCTTAATTATGGCAACTGAAATCATTCTAGACACATACCAGAGGTTTATTTCGCATAGTGATTTTTTCATGGTCATCTTAATATTAATGAGTGTATACTTACATATAGATATATACGTATAGATGCGTACACTTAAGGAAAAAAAAATTACCCTGAGATTTTAGATGAGGTAAATTTAAAGCCATCTTGAATTTCAAAATGGAATTCGCTCAATAAGTGTAATGGTTCTAATTGCTGCTGTGGCTTTCAGCGAAAATGAACTTGAAGGTGGAGCAGGTTCAGGGGAAGCAGGTAGAAAAGTTCAAGCCAGTTGAGCTAATACCTGAGTTGACTAACAAGGTCCGATGAGTGACCGGGTAGGTAGGACCCTGGACGTTTTTGCTCGTAATGAACTGAAGCTGAGCAGGGTACCACGTCAGCCCCCTTGCATCACGTCGGGCTGTCTCCAGACGGTGTCTTCCATTGGGAGCCCCAGAACGTCTAAAAGGGCGTCTCTAGGACAGGGCGTGAGAGCTGGAATGGGCCTTTGCCCCACGCCCTACTCACGTCCAGAGACCCTCCGTTGTTGCTCCCGAGAATGGGGCCCTCGTGGGCCGAGGTGGTGCTGTGGCCGCGTCGCCCCCCTGCCCAGCACTGACCGCCTGCTCGGAACCAGCACCTCAGGTCGCCGGGCTGAGTCGAGGGTGTGGGTGACCCTCCTCGTGTGCCCCTCCCCATCGCCAGGTGCAGGATGGGGGTCCTGCTGTGGGTTTGTTTTTACAGTAGGGGCTTGGGAACCTTGGAACAGTGAACTCTTCGATCTCCTGTTGCCATTTGGGGGTTACTGCCCTGGCAGGAGCAGGAGAGAACTGGCCGAGCCGCCCTCCTCTTTACATTTATCATGTAAGTGAGCTGAAATTTAAGGATTAGAAATTTTCAGAGCAGAGAAATTACAAAACCAGGTCAGGAAGGACCTGTATGATCTAATGAGAGGGTCAGCAGGGGATGAGCTTATAAAATCCTGAAGTCCTGTCCTCAGTGCTTGAAGAGAGCTGGGACCACTCTCACCCTCCCGCCCCCCTCCCCCGCCTTCCCGGCTCTGGGCCCGAGCTTGGCCATCTTCTCTGCCAGCTGGTCATGGTCATGGTCATGGTCATGTTCATGGTCATGGTCATGGTCAGTCTAGGCAACCAGGACAAGCTGCAGGTAGGCACTGGGGAAGGATGAAGTCCGTCCAGTCACCCAGTAGCCCATGCCCTGTTGGACAAGCCCTGCAGAGCTGGTGGACACTCACTACTGGGGCCAGGTCCCCTCCAGCTGGGTTTTGGGGTGAGGGCAGCCTCTCGCACCGCCCTGGTGGCAGGAGGTCCCCCAGGCTAGGCCCGCGCCCGCTGACAGTTAGTGGTTGCTGTAGGGCCAGGTTTTCCCACGCAGCAGCATGTGCCAGCCAGGTGTTTCTAATTTAGCTCACTCACACCTCCCAGGCAGGGACCAGGTGTGGAGATTTTACATTTTAAGAAGGGAGGTGGTGGATGGTTGTAATATGATTGCTAACACGGAGTTAATTGGCACTAACCCCCAGATGTGGTGACACCCCTTTCTGTCCAGCGGTGGTTGGCTTTGCTCTCTTTCTCTGTGTCCCTTAGCCAGTGAAATTGTGGTGAGCAGAAAAGGCCCACACAAGGAAAGTGCCCTGGCAGCCCCAGAGCTTCGAGAAGCTGTGAATCAGCACAAGGAAAGAAACCGTTGCAGATGGGGAGGAATGGGTGCGTTTATCATGGAATAAATGCTTCCTTGACAAATGCTATTTTCTGTGCATCTCAGATTTTGAACACGTTTAACATCCTTTTGGGTGTCATTTTTCATCATATTCCTCTGAGATTTAGAGCAGACCTCCGTTTCAACTTGGTTAGAAGCGTTGTGATAACTGAGCTAGCTCCTCCTTGAGTTCAGCACTTCTGCAGATAACTCCCAGAGCCCGGCCTGGAAGGCTCTGGCCTTTGCTCCGGCTGCGCTATCTGTTCCACTACCCCGGGCCTGGCCTGGCCTGCTGCTGCCCAGAGGCCCCTCTGCTCGGGCAAGACCGCTCATCTCTCAGGCTCCTTCCTCCAGATCAGTGTGGTGTTCTCCATCTAGTTGTTTTGTTAGGCTGGTCACAAAGCGGTGCTGAGTTGAACCATATGGAATTGCCATTTTGTAGGTTAAAACATCAAATATTGGAAATTTCATAGCGTTCAACTTCTTATCTTGGAGGATTTCTGAAGTCTGAGTAGGAACAAGTTAGTTATCTAGGTATTTCTGGCAAGAAACCGTTGAGCTGTCCTCCTGACCAGAATCCTGGAGGCCTAGGTGGCTGCCTTTTTCTTGGGCCGCAGCAGGTGGGGTTTCTCTGTGGGAAAGAGAGGCCGCAGTTACCGGGGGTGAGGTTCGTGGTGCTTTTGAAGAAATGAAAGTGAAACGTGAGTGTGAATAAGAAGTATTCTGATTCCTTCTGGGATTGTTGTTTTAGTCATTTAATTTCAAAAACAAATTAATGTTTTGTTTTCTGAGTTTCGTGAAGGGAGTTTGTGTTTTCCTAAGGAGCTAGCCATCTTGTAATGCAGTGAAGCATTTAGGGAGGTCGGGTCCTCCCTATAATATAACCTCTTAAAAAGGCCAGGTTTGTTTATTTTGAATTCATTTTTCTCCGAGAAATAGTTGTTTAAGGAAGCCATTATTCCTGAAATAAATCTTACTCTTTCTTTCATAATAAAATATCATTTAAACTTATTTTCTGTGAATACTCCCTCACTTCTTTATTTTTACTTATAAAAAATTTTAGCTTCTTTGTATAATATGCATCTTAATGCTTGTAGCCTTAGAGATGGATCGCGAAAGCAGTTGGAATGACTGCAGCAGCGCTGCACCGAAAGCAGCACTTCACAGAGTCCCAGAAGAGCAGGCCTACGAAGAGCTAAGATCTGCTTTCAGACCCAGGACGTGTGTGTAGACACGTCCTTCCCTCTGCCCCTGAAGACCCTCCTGGGCAGGTGTGGCCAGGCGATGGGCGGCAGGCCTGCCAGTCGTGCGGCTTTGTGCTTTTCCTGCCAGCCTGGAGTGCCCTCGCTGGGCAAGTGCCTGGCCTATGCTGAGGACACCACAGGAGGCGGTCCCCAGGGCAAGTGTGGAGGCCCTTGACTGTCCTCCCGTGCGGCGGCCTCACACATGACGGTCTTCAACAGATGAGTTCTGCGTTGTCTTTTCAAAGTGACTGCAATATTCCCTTTGAAATGAAATATTTAACACTTTTATAACTCCTTCGTCACAGCTATTAGCTTGTAGCTATGACATCCAGCTGCATGACAGTAGTAAAATCTGCATTTTTTTAAAACCTGCTGGCTAGAGGGAAGTTTCTTTGCAACTTCTATTTCAGAGACTCTGTAAGGAGTCTTGTAATTCTGTATCCCTGTCAAACCCCCTTTCAAAAGGGCCTCTAGAAAACCCTACCAGTCAGTTAGGGGAAAGGCCCTTTCAGGGCGAATGAATTAATTTCCCCACTGTGTCCTAAATGTGGGGTCCCACTGAGCCCCCTTCATTCAGTGCCCTGGAGGCCTGCCTCGGTGTTCATGTCGCCTTACACGCCATAAAGCCAGCCCAGTCAGCCTCTGGAGGGTGTTGCAGCAGAGAGGAGAGCATCTTCTCTTAGGCTCCCTTCTAGGTCCGCAGCAGGAGGCAGCTTTGTGCTTTCGGGCAGTTTGTACTGGTATTTTTCCTGAATTTAAAAACAAAGAATTACAATTTAAAGAGAAAATAGCTAAAATAGGAGGTGCTTTACAGGTTCCGGTTGATAGCCATCGCTGTTCTCCTGTTTTTGAAATGAGGGCTTCTAAAACTTGTTGACCTTGCTGAGATATTACCTGGTGGGACTGGAAGGTTTATAAACCTTCCGGTGCCCGTTTACTGATTAGAACAAGCTAAGGCTTGCACTTAAATTAAGTGGGAAGGAAACAGCTGGTGAGAACGTACTTCTTTCAACCCTAGAGCTGCTGAGCTGCTTTTCAGGGCTAATAGACGTGGAGATCTGGGTCTGTGGCCTTCTAAGGCTGAGGATGGGAAAGGTGAAATGAAAAGACCAGATCAAAAGCCTGAGAGCGGGTGGCAGGCCACGGAGCCCAAGGTGCCGGGAAGGTGGTTGGAGGTCTCAAATCGATACAGGAGGCCACCTCCAGGAGCGGCCCATCACCTCTTTCATGGAGAGTAAAATCCAGTGTGTTTTTGTGGTTTAGAACCATGAGAGAAAAGAGATAAGTGGGAATGTTTATGAACAAAAGCAAGGCAGGACTTGGTGAAAGCAAACGATCCACGGGGCGTAGCGCGAGTCCTGGGGGCGACAGAGGTGGGGTTAAACTGCCTTCCTCAT